GAACTAAGGCATCCTGTGTGGTCTCTATGTTTGTACCCTTGGGTGGGAAGCGATGGGCAAGCTGGAAGCTGAGAATAGAGATTCTTCAACAGGAAGACCTTGTGCTATTAGCTATATCTTCTAATAGCTCCTGATCTCCCACTTACCTCTCCTACTCCTATTAAACTGATCATTAAAGCAAGAACCACCCTTAGAAAACTCTTGTGTTCTGTTTTGTAATTCTATTGGCCACTTTTTCAGAAACTTTGTTTTTTTTTTTTTACTTGAAAGTCTTGGGTGCATAGCTTTTTTTTTTTTTTTGGTATTTAGAGGAAGTGATTCTTGGCAGACAAATGCCAGCTATTTTGAGAGAAACTCGAAATTTAGATTTTTTTTTTCTGGACCAGTGTCAAACCTCCCTGGGTTCTAGAGCCAAGGGAAGTTGATTTTTAATAAATGGTGATGCTAGATAAGGATGCTGCAGATGACTGAGTATTTGTGCTCTTCTCATTCCCATGTTGAGAACTAATTCTCATTGTGATATTTGGAAGCAAAACCTTCAGGAAGGTGAAAGTTTCATTTACTTTTCAAAAGGGTGACCAGAGAACCCACTCATTCTTTTGGATGTGTGAGACACAACAAAAAGATAGCTGTCATAATTTGGAAGTAAAATGTTCTTTCATAGAGTCACATGTTTAAATACTTAGTACCCAGTTGATGATGCTGTTTTGGGAGGTTGTGGATCCTTTAGGAGGTAGGTTCTTGATGAAGGAAGAGAGTCAGTAGGCGTGGGTCTTTAAGTTTCCTGGTACACTTAGACATGAACATGGAAGACTTACATCATTTCTGTCAGGTAGTCAGTCACAGCCAAGAGAAGAGTAACTAAGATGACTGGTACCCAAAAGCCAAGAAGCAGGACTCTACCCATGCCTTGCTCTCAACTTTATCAAAAAGAGAAATACATTTCTGTTGTTTATCATGCCATCCTTGGTATTCTCTTGTAGCATCCCGAAAGAATATGACAGGTGTCAAAGCACACAAGGTAACTGCTTTCATTCCTTGATGTAACAGGCAAGCCTATTTTCTAGGCTTCCTCTGATTTCCATAGATACATCATACAGCATGATTTTCACTTCTGAAGCTTCATAAGCTCTGTCTCTACTAATTAAACTTTTCAAAAGTAATTTCTAACCATTTGCTTAAGATTAAACTATCATGGGAGCCTTCATTGATGGAATATAATCAATTTCTGTTCCACTGCTGGCTATGTGACTTGTACAAGTAACCCAGCATCTCCCAGCCTTGGAGAGGATGACGTGTGCTAACTTGTTATTATTGTTTCAACAATTAAATAGATAGTGCATCCACATGCTACCCATTGTGTCTGAGTCATAGTGACCATCACACACACACACACACACACACACACACACACACTAGCTATTGACTACTGTCATTATTATTGTCCCTGTTCTACAGGTTGACTAATCTATTACTCTAACCTGCTTTTGGTGCTGCATTTTTTTTTTTAGAGTAAGTCATCTTTCAATGGACATGCAATAAACCATTCAGCTGACTGAGAACCTTTCTCCCTCTGTCAAAATGAGATGAACCAGGATGATAGATTGAGGAATTAGACTCATTTAGACTCCGTCATTCCTATAAGGATAATTCAGTGTGCTTCATTGCTCATTAGGTCATTCATGGAGACTGTATCATTGGTAGTTGTAATGACAGGTGCCTATCATGGTGGAGCATTAAGGGCAAAGACAAAGGAGGTCTACAGTATAGTAACTGAATAACTATGGGGTTGAGAGCTTAGTATCAGACAGACCCATGTCTGTGACCTAATGCTGCTAATGAAAACACAAGAAGTGTGTTATAAGTAAGCTACTAAGATCTGATTTTAGTTTCAACATATTTGAAGTTTGAGTAGTAATAGATGCACATACAGTTTTGTGGGAGTTTGTAGGAAGAGTGTATCTAAGGTGTCTAGGAGGATGACTAGCATGTGCTAAGTGTTCAGTGCATGGTGTCTTAACTAAACTAACAGCAACATTAGTTACAACAATGATATTATACCTGGATGGGGAGGAGACATCATAGGAGCTGAGATGTGAAATAGCTTTTCTAGGGTATGGAGGGGAGAAATAATCTATTTTAACTCACAATTGTAGGTTACAGTCCATTGTTGCCTGGAAGTCAAGGCAGGAACTTGAAACAGCTAGTCACCTCTACAGTCAAGAACAAAGAGAAACAAGTGCATGAATGTTTCTTTCTGAGCTCACCTTCTTCCTTCTTATATAGTCCAGGACACAAGTCTAGGGGCTGGGGCCACCTATGGTGGGCTAGGTCTTTGCATATCAATTTAGACAGTCAAGACAATCTATCACAGACAGACCTAAAGGCCAACCATATCTAGGAAACCCCTCATTAAGACCCTCTTTCCAGGTGATTCTGCATTATATCAAACTGACGATTAAAATCTAACCCCCACAGTATGGAAGAAAAACAAAAGTGTTATAGACATGATAGAGACTGCAGCTAGAATTTTTAAAATAAATGAATGGTGGTAGTAGAAAAGTCCAGTGGGAAGCCATACCTTTGTGTTTATGAAGGTTTGCCATAGTAGGCGTGGGAGAAGAACTTTAAAGTACAGTGAGAATTTTAAGTGCGAAGACCACAGTTCCTACATCTCATATCTTGGGCTTGGGTGATCAGTAACCTTGAGGTGGAGAATGAGGATTTACATTTTTAAAAAGGCCCATGTAGGTTATAATACAAATAGTTGCAAACAGGTCGCAACTTGAGGAACACAATATGAAGAATTGGTGAATTATTTTAGGGGAGAGGAGAGAGATAAGCTGTATAATAACAAATATCATCTTATAGCCCAGTGAAGCCATATCCTTAGTTTGGGAGTGCATACTGAAACACATTACACTAAAATATGGGGCATCCAAATATAATCTGTGCTGGAATAAAAATACTTCCATCACCAACTAACCAACTAACCAACCAACCAAGCAACCAATCAACAAAAAATAACGTTTACTTAAGAGTAGAATTCTAACATCAGGATTAAAAATTTTACTTATATAGTACTAAGGCACAATGATAGCTAATATGTGGTTTCTGATACCACCAATAATTAGAAGTCAGGATTAGAGAGATGGCTCAATGGTTAAGGAGGGTGTACTGTTCTTGCAGAGGACCCAAGGTGAAGTCCAAACACTCACATTAGGCAGCCTACAACCACCTGTAATTACAGCTCTATGGCATCCAATGTTGTCTTCTGGCATCCATGGGCACTTCACTTATGTACACCATTCCCATATATAAACAAATTAAAATGAAAATAAAATCTTTAAGACAGAAATTAGTGGGTAGATTCCACACAAAGGACTATGAATGAGAAGTAAGGCATACCTATGGCATTTCACAGAGCTCCTCTTTAGAACGAAGTTCAAGTTGCCTGGAGTAAGAAATTGATAACTACGGCCTCCATCTCATTTTCTCCTTTTCTACCTGAGCTTGGTAGGATCTTCTCCAACATTATCAGTACCTCAGTCCTTGCTCCAAAATCTACTCCCAGGTGGCCTTACCTAAGAAGACCAAAACACTATTTTTAGTTCTTAAATATAAACAAAATTCTTGTTTCTTGAAGTATTTGTAGCAAAATAAAGTTTCATCCATTTTTAAAGGCAACCATTGAGAAGAGGGAAAAAAAGGTTATTTGCCAGGAGCTGAGAAGTGGGGATGAGTTGATAAATTCATGGGGTCACTGAACTCACCCTCTATCATTTTGTTTTAATGGTGACCAGGTCCCCACTGATGGGGGAGCTAAAGAAAACACATTTAAATTTAACAATGATTGCACAGTTCATAAGAGCTAATTGATACTAAGGTGTTCTAATTTATTCTTTTTTTTTTGTTTATGAAAGTGTCAATCCTAAAGTCTGAAGGTGAAGAACTTGTGCTTTAGAGAAGTCTATGTTGCTCTAGGCGTTGAACGACTCGATGTTCACCGTAATGATGATTTTTATAAATTCTAGAAGAAAATGTACACCCTATTATTTTACTGAATGTTCAAAGAACATAACAAACTGCCTAAGAGTTTGTTCTTAGTGGAAAATGTCAATGTTCAATTGAAAATAAGATTATAGTTGCTGGGTCCTCCTTCTATGATTTATTATTAATATGCTACTGTGTTCTTAGGACACATTGCTTCAGAAAACTAGTCTCAGGTTTTTATATTTTATGAGAAGACAGTTTCATTAGCTATGGAATGTCTTTTTTATTCTGCTAAGGAGGCTCAGGAACCTCAAATCATAATTGAACTAGCCCATTGATAGAGTTGCTTAGCAACAAACTTTTATGTAAGCAGAGTAATCATTTTCTTAAGAATTTATTACTTTAAACTTTGGTACTTGATTTTAGCAGATCACCTCACTGCAAAATGTACTTTTTTTTTCTCTTCATGATTTTAAGTGCATGTTGCTAATTGGGCTGTATGTTTCATAGATGATGCCACAAACCTGAATTCTTCCAGTGGTTCTCAACCTTCCTGATGTTGTGGCCCTTTAATAGAGTTCCACGTGTGCGTGGTGACCCAAAACCATAAGACTATTTTTGTTGCTACCGCATACAGTTATGTTACTGTTGTGAATCATAACGTAAATATTTTTGGAGATAAAGGTTTGCCAAAGGGGTTGTGACCCATGGATTGAGAAACACTGCTTTGGACTATTTTCATGGGCCATGTTAACCTGAGACTTTAGAATGAATGAACACTTAGTTTTGATTAACAAGGCTTAAAAAATGGTTCAGAACAACTCAAATAATTCTTGGGTGGCTAAAAGCAACAATATATTACTTTGTTGCCAACTAAAAATGACAGCCATGGATCTCAGGTGTGCTTTTCTCTCCACCCCCTCTTCACCATGGAAACCTTTAGCTTTCAATCAGTGCCTGTGTCAGGAAAAAAAAATAACAATGCTCACATACTGAATGCATTAACAGGCATCTCCTCAGTACATTGCTAATACAAGGATAGCAGAGCTTTTTAATAGTCCTTTTCTTTGCAGTGTGCATTCTTATGAAGGTTCACAAGGAGCCGTATGGTTAAGTGGATATGAGCTACAGCGTCACATGGACTTTGGGTAAGGTTCTTACTGCATTGTTTACTTGTTTGGTGTCTTGGAGTCTTATTTTCCTTAGTCACACAGGGTCCTTAGAAATGCATTCTATGAGACCGCATTAGAATTAGAGATGTCATCCTAGAAGCCATTTCTCTATGTATGTGCCCAGTGGAGTACAGGTGTGAAAACATGGCTAACTGTGGCTGAAATTATCTAGTTTAAGCTTCTGATGGCTACTGTGTTATGATCAATGGATAGGTCCATTATCATTAACCTGCACCATAGTTCAATACATCTTTCTCCACAGGTAGATCCTAAGATTTAACTCCCTGATGGTCATCATGGTGTGTCTGAGGAGATACAATGTAGTGAGACAATAGCCCTTTCTTGAAACAGGCAGCCAGTTTTGTGTGGGAGAGGGAAGCTAGGATGATTAATACTGTCAACTTGGTAAGATACAGTACTTAGGAGGCAATTCTCTCTGGGGCTCTGTGAGAAAGTTTCTAGACTGGGTTCAGGTGGAAAGACATATCCTAAATGTGAGTGGTATGGTTCTATGGGCTGGGGCACCAGACTAGGTGAAAAGGAGAAAGCAGGTTAAGCGCCAGGGTTTATTTTTCTGTGAATGCAGTGTGACCACCAGTTTCAAGCTCTAGCTTCCCAGGAGAGACTGTGCCCTCCAACTGTGATCAAAGACAAACCCTTCCTCCCTCCCTCCCTCCCTCCCCCCTTCCTTCCTTCAAGTTGCTTTTTGCAGGCATTTTTATCACATCAGCAAGGCAAGTAACCAGGGCAGAAACTAAAGATGATTGGATACCAATATATAACATTGAAAAGGAGAGATGAAAGCTATTCTTAGGAATAAATATTCTCCCTCCTGTTGAAGGCAGATGTATGGATTTGCATTCTTACAGGTTTCATCTGTCTCACTAAAACTATACTGTTGCTTTGTCTTCTCTGATGCTCTACTTCGGTCCATGGTCCAACCACTACTGGATCTCATGATTTCCCTCTGCTGCTGCAGCAGAAAAAGTTGGGCATCAGATAGCCTTGTGTTTCTTAGTTACTGTCCAGGCAGTAACTATTAATGGTTAATAATTATAACTATTAATTATAATAGTTAATAAAAGTCCAGGCAGGCTATTAACAAGCCCCTTGGTGTTGGTTTCTTTGTTGATTGAATGGGAATGATACCTTCAACGCTGAGTGGAAGAGTGAATGGGATGAAGTCACAGATATGCTGAGTCCAGTGCCAGGTAGAGAGACGGCGATTATGTTCTCCGTCAGACAGTCATCACAGAGTGGTCTCCTGACGAGGACCTCACATATTTCAGGTGTCAGTTTGGCTGTAGAAATGATAAGAAGGTTTGTCTTTGCAAAGATGATGTTTTAGTAAAGGGAACACATTATGTAAAAGGATTAAAAACAGTGGTACTAAGCACACTTTAAAAAAAAAAAACAACTTAGATCCAGCAAAGAGAGTGAGACAAACTTCACAGTCGAGTCCAGGCATGGATCAAAGAGTAGACACTGGAACTGGGTTTTAGAGGGGCTGTAGGCTGCAGTCCAGGCATGGATCAAAGAGTAGACATTGGAACTGGGTTTTAGAGAGGCTGTAGGCTGCATGCCAGGTAAACAAAGGGATGACCATGACACACAAAACGGTTAACTCAAAAAGAGAGACACTAACATTCCATGTTTCCTTCTTCTTGCCTCTTCTTCGTCTCATTTTAGAACAAAGGTGTGTGCATTATATTCCTGTCTGTCCTTTAGAAAGGACAGATGAGAGCTGGTATCCATGTTTTAACCCCGAAACCACACTCTTCTAGGTATAGAACTTGATTCCAAGCATTGCTGGGACTGAGGCATGGGCGAGCATGATTCCCTACAGTGAATTATGAGGTCAACTCTACACACTCAAAGTGGCCAGTGTCTCCAGAAGGTAGACAGTGCTCAGCAAACTTGTGAATTAGATATTTGGTTCTGTTTTGCGTGAATAATTTGGAAGTAGAGCTCACAACAATCAAACTGGATCTAATTTTCTCTGAACAGATATGAATTTCAGACTTCTTTCTCTTACAGAGACTCTCATGGATCATCCTTACCCCTAAGTTCTGACATTGCCTAAAATACCCTGTTTCGTAGCAGGCTATCTACAACTAGCCTCTGATTTGACCAATGAATTTATAAGACATCTTTATTTTTATTAATATTCATAAGCCGTCTCTCGTGTATGTGGAAGTAGCTAATTAGGAGAAATGATGATAGTCTATTTCCTTCATACTTAAGATGATTGGTTGAAAACAGAGTTCAGTGGAAGAGCACTTGTCTACCATGTGCAAAGTCCTGGGTTCTATCTCCAGCATTACAATAAAAATGTTTTGTGTTAATTTCTCTTAGGTGGCTAATGGCACCCCAACTCATGTACCCGAACTAATGGATTTATTGCTTTTGGCATTCTTATGTTTACTACAAAATACTACTCAGCTTTTAAGCACTATTGTCTGCTTCACTGTGAGTTTTCTAAATTATAGAGGATACGGAACAGACCAGGTTAATAGAAATCAATTTTGCCCTGGGTTTGGGGGTAGAGAGAAGGCTAGATAGGAGGGAAGAGAACCTTCTATCCACCCTTACGACAGAATGACAAGCAGGTGGGGCTTTCTCTTGGATCCATCTTCACCTCCATCTTCCTTGAACTTACTCTTTCCTATTTGATGGCTGAAGACATGGTGTCGTATTGTTGACAAATGTACCTTCCCACTTGTTTTTTTAAAATCAACTCCCCTGCACTCCTTTCCTAGGGAGACAACAGGAAGTTGAGTGCTGAGATCATAATTTCTTATTCCTCAGCTGGAATGGCCCCAAATTTACCTTCTAAATCTCCAGAGAAAACTGGATGCAGGTCAGGGAACCTATTGAGGGAGACTCATCCTAGACATGAAGGGCACCATCCAATAAGCTAGGTGGCCCCAAATTTACCTTCTCAGGTGATTTTTGTTTTTTTGCTAGGGTAAGTGCCAATTATATTCTCTTTGTTCCAAATTCTTATTTCTAAGTATAAGTGAAATAGAATTATGCCACAGAAATTATGTTAGAAATCATGCTAAATTAAGGAGGAAGGAACTCTACTGGTAATACAAGACCCTCATGACAGAATTTCTTTCAATGAGATATGATGTGCATATCATTGTTTTTTGTTTTTTTTTTTTTTGGTTTTTCGAGACAGGGTTTCTCTGTGTAGCTTTGCGCCTTTCCTGGTACTCGCTTTGGAGACCAGGCTGGCCTCGAACTCACAGAGATCCGCCTGCCTCTGCCTCCCGAGTGCTGGGATTAAAGGCGTGCGCCACCACCACCCGGCCTTTTTTTTGTTTTTTTTTTTTTTTTTTGGTGCATATCATTGTATATTAAGAAAAATACCCTGGTCTAGGAGATGACTTAAATTATGTCACAAATGCAATATTGTAAGCATATTAATGGAGAGAAGTAGTTATCTCTGATCTGATTCTCCTCCCCTTAGATCATAACTAGATGTGACATGCCTGTTAACCAATTCTGTTCTAAGAAAAAGAGCCTGCTTGAGAGTCATTGAGTTGTGTGCCTTCAGTTTTCCTGAGTGGCTGGAATTTTGCTAGAAGCTTTACTATTTTATGTGTAGAAATCAAGGCAAGGAAAGGCAAGAGTATTCTGTTTCCTTGCCTAGTCATCCACTTGTCTACTTATTCCTGGTAATTAACTTTGTCTTATGTTGGCAGAGACTATAGTAATGCTTTCTTATCTGTCTTTTGTGCCAACCAATCATCTATCATCTATCTCTGTGTATCTGTGTGTATTTATATGTATATATGAATTTATATATTCCATATATGTGTTATATTTATATGTATACACATATTAGGATATATCTAATACATGTTTTTTATTGTTTGTGATTGGATGTTTGGTCAGTTTTGTACAGTTGTGACAGGATGTTTGACCATTCCTCTACTCTATAAAGTTCCACCTTCCTATCCCACCTTTTAAAGACCCTGACTCCATAGACTCATCATGAACTGAGGCAAGTCCATTTCCATGTGCTTCTGGAAGCTGTTACCTTCAGAATAGTCTCTCACAGGCTAGGCCACATGCTTTAGCTCCTACTGGTCTCTCTTTTTCCTTCCAAGCAATCCAGTATTTGCTGATTATCTATGCCACACTATGCTTGGCATTTATTAAATATCTTTATTTTCAAGAAATACAGATAATGGTGCATTCCCTGTCCAAGGCCAGCAGACAGAAAGAACCTCAGAGCTACTGGGGTAAGAGTGTGCTCGCAGGTTGAAGGGTCTAGAGCCTGGTATCCACTGGTGACAACCGGAAAGACACATGCCTACTTGAGGAGGAAAGGCACAAGTGAAAGCTAGCTTTCTTCTCCTGATTTTTCCTCCCATTCCTCTCTCTGTCAGTGCATCCAGCTTCTTGGATGGTGTCCTTCAAGGTCACGATGAATCCCCCTTAAGAGGTTCACTGACCTGCATTCAGGTTTCTCTGGAAACCTTCTCACAGCCACACCCAGAAGTATGCTCTGATAGCTCTTTAAGCACACCCCAGTGTAGCATGAATCCTAATTGGTCTTAATAAAAACCCAGAGCCAGATATCGGAGTAAATGATGAAAGATCAGAGAGACAAAGGAACAAGCCACAGTCACATCTCACCTCACCAGCTCTTCAGCTGAAAGGACTGAGTTCCTGTCTCCTCCTGCTGTATGTTCCTTTCTCCGTCCAGCCATATCACTTCCTGTCTCAACCTCCCTAGTCCTGGGATTAAAGGTGTGAGTGCCTCCCAAATACTGGGAGCAAAGGCATGAGATCCAATTGCTGGGATTAAAGATGTATGACCCCAATGCCTGGCCTCTGTGGCTAACTAGTGGCTGGCTTTGCCCTCTGATCTTCAGGCAAGCTTTATTTGTTAGATCATACACAAAATATCACCACACCTCAGTTTAGCACAGTTGACAACTAAAATTAACCATCACAGAAGG